ACCAAGATTGACGGGCTGCAGAGGCGCCCCTCCTGCCAGGCCACAAACCCCCAATTTCAATGTGACCCCCCCTACTTCACCTCCCCCCCCCCCAGCCAGGCCTCCCGTTAGAGCCAGAGGCTGCCACGCCACTCCGGTTTGCAAGTTGCAGCTGCAAGCTGTGTGTGTGTGTGTGGGGGGGGTTGAGTGGGAGGCTGGGGGGGGCACGCACAGCCCCCCCACCAGTGCAAAAAAAAAAGCAAGTCACGTGCTCCCCCCTCCTCCTCCTCCTCTTCCCCCCCTCCCTTCCCCTTTTCTTTTCCTGCTGCGGTTTTGCGCATTTTCTCCTCCTCCGCCTGCGCAGCCGGGCAGCCATTGGTTGGCGCTGCGCCTCTTGGCTCTGTTATTTTTCGAATCTGAATGCGGGGCTGGCCGGGGGGGGGGGGAGGGGAGGGGAGGGCAGCTGCGGGGCCGGGCCGGGAGAGGAGGAGCCGGGCCAGCTCCCGCGCCGACTCCGGCTCCCCTCTTTGGCGCGCAGGGCTGGAGGCGCAAAGCAGAGCCGGAGCTGGGAGCCGCTTTGCCCCGTGGAGGCTCTGCCCATGGACCCCGCCGGCTCCCCCGCCCGCTCCCCGGAGCCCCGACGCCAAGCCCGCAAGCCCCGCGCCCTGCCCGGCCTCCCCGGCAGCCGCCCCGCCGCCATGTCCCCGGTCACCCACCTGGCCCTCCACATGGACCAGCTGGCCGGGCTGGGCAGGTAAAGCGGGGCGGGCAGGCAGGAAGGAAGGACCCCCACCTCCCTCTCCCTCTCCTTCTCTCTCTTTCTCCCTCCCTTCCTTTCTCCTCTTTCTTTCTCTTTCTTTCTCTCCTTCCCTCTCTCTCTCCTTCCCTTCCTTTCTCTTTCTTTCTTTCCCTCTCTCTTTCACTCTCCCCCTCTCTTCCTCCTTCTCTTTCCCCTTTTCTCTCTTTCTCCCCCTTCCTTCTCTTTCCCTCCCCCCTCTTCCTCCTTCTCTTCCTCTTCCCTTCCCTCTCTTTCTCTCTCCTTCCCTTCCTTTCTCTTTCTTTCCCCTTTTCTCTCTCTCTTTCACTTTCCCCCTCTCTTTCTCTCTTCTCCCCTCCCTCTCTTTCTTTCTCCTCTCTCTTTCATTCTCCCCCTCTCTTCCTCCTTCTCTTTCCTCTCTCTCTCCTCCCCCTCTCCCTTTCTTTTTCTCTCTTCCTCTTTCCCTCTCTCCCTCCTTCCCTCTTTCTTTCCCCTTTTCTCTCTCTTTCCCTCCTCTCTTCTCTCCCGCCTTCCCTTCCTTTCCCTCTCTCGCTTCCTCCCTCTTTCCCCCTTCCCCTCCCTTTCTCTCTTCCTCTTTCCCTCTCTCCCCTGCTTCTCTCTCTCTCTCTCTCTCCCTCTCCGGCATGCCTCCTTTCCCCCTTCGCGGGTGGGGGTGAGGGGATTGGGGGGGGGCGAGAACCGGGGCCGCGTGGGCAGGAGGGCGGACAAAAGCGGATCCTTTGGCGGCAGGAATGTGGACGCGGGCTGGGCTGTCAGGCTTGCGGGGGAAGGGCAGGCCGGGCCCCGCGGGAGGGAGGGGGAGATTCGCGGCCCTCCAGATGTGCAGAGCGGGGGGGGGAGGAGCTTTATCAGCCTGCCCGGAGGAACTCTCAGTGGGGGGGGGGGTTGCAGGGGGTGGGAGAAATGCTTGGCCTTTGCCCCCCCCCTTCAAAGGTGCTGCCAAGGTCAAGGGCCCCTTTCCTTCCATGCTGGGGCCAGGAGGACAGAAAAGACCCCCCATCAGCCCCATCAGCCCCCTGGGCAGGCTGCAGGGGGTCTCTTTCTGACTTGGGGGGGGGGAACCTCTGGTTGGAGAAACTTGGGGCAAAGCCTTTCCCTAAGGCTAAGCAGTCCTTGGCATGTTAGGGCAAAACTAGCAGGAAGGGTTGGGGTCTTTTGCAGTGGGAAGGAACCCCCCCTCCCCACAGCTGGAAGTGAGCCTCTCAGATAAGCTGAATTGAGGGGAGGGGGCTCCCTTCCACCCTGGCTGCCTCTGATCAGGAAGGAGCAACAGGGAGGGGGGCAGCTGGGGAGGCCCCCCCACCCCTAAGCCTTCCCCCGTCAAGCAGTTCCCTCCTTGCAGCCTGACCCTTTGGGGTGGCTTGGTCTGTAGCCTACCCTTGTCCCCTATTGTGGGAGCCCCCCACCCCAAGGCCATGCACTGGGGAGCAAGGGCCTGCGGGGAGGAAGTGCTTCTGGGTGCACTTACTCAGGAGCAAGAGACTTAACTGCCACTGGATGTGGGAATCCTAGTTTACGTCTAGCTGGACTAGGGGGAGATCCCGGAGATAGCCCCACTGTTTTCTCGGCCTGCAAATATGCTGTGCTTGCCTCTCCATTGGAGCGTTTGGCTCCGGGTCCCAGCCACTTTCCTCTGGGAAGCCAGGCCTGTTTGGGGGCTGCCCTCCCTGACCCGACCCTTCCCCCCCCTCCCTCAATAAGATTCCTGTGCTGGGAGAAAGTTGGGGAGGGGGGGTGCGATTGGTTTGTTGGAATGTCTGCCTTCCCATTGCCTGCAGCAAACATTTGAATTTATTCCACATGTTGGCAAATTCAGATTTTTGTTTTCCTGGCCGGAGGCAGATTTTTTTTTAAGGAAAGAGGTTTCTGATGGGAGTGGTACGTTTTGGGGTTGGGTGTGTCTTGATGGGGGGACTCCCCAAAGAAGCTTCTCTGAACCCTCCCCTCTTTTTCCGGCAACGGTTAGGCTGCCATCGGCTCTTTTTAAAGGCGTTTTTTAAAGGCGGCTTTAACCCTGACCCTTTTTTCTTCCTCCCCACTGAGTGCCAGTTTTTGGCAGGGCCTCCTCCTGCTTCTGGCATTTTTTCCCTTCCTCCCAGGAGCAGCTGCTCCTATTGTAATTCTCTGCATAATGCGAGGAGGAAGAGAGGGAGCCAGGCTGAGCGTGGAGGGTGCTTGCAACACGTGGCGTAGAGAGAGAGAGAGGCCCCTTCCCACAGCCTGACGCTCAGGAAGGAAGGGGCTGCTACACAAGACTGGAAGGACCCCCTTGGTTGACCAGGGGGCTCCAAGTGCCAAGTCTTTTTTCTTGCAAAAATGGATGTCTGTGTTGGGGGGGGGAGTCCCTTTTGCCCCTTCCCATGTTGGGTGAACCCAGCCTAGCCTGGTTAGCACAAGTGGCCATGATTAAACCCAGAAAAGGGTCTAACGCTAGCCTTTTTTCCCCCCTGCTTTGACACAGAGTGGAATAACAGAGTTGGAAGGGACCTCGGAGGTCTTCTAGTCCAACCCCAAGGAGGAGATCCTATACCATTTCAGACAAATGGCTGTCCCAGTCTCTTCTAAAAAAAAACCTTCAGTGTTGGAGCACCCATAAATTCTGGAAGCCATTAATTGTTCCCACTGATAAGTCACTGTTAGGAAATTATTATTTTCATTAATAATTTTAAATATTTTTTTAATATAATAATTTTAATAATTATTATCCTTCTTTCTAGGCTGGTTCTCGCCTTGATCACTTTTCATCCATTGATCAAGAGAGATCGAAACTAGAACGAAAGGGAGTTTTCCTGGCAGTGAGAACAATTAGCCGGTGGAACAGCTTGCCACTGGAAGTTGTGGTTGCGCCATCATTAGACTCAAGGGTGTCCTGCTTGAGCAGAGGGTTGGACTAGAAGACCTCCAAGGTCCCTTCCAACTCTGTTACTCTGTTATTCATGGGAAATGGCTCATGGCAGGCTTGAATCGGAGACGATGATTGGATCAGCTGCCAGGGCTGTTCTCCGAGCCACCTGGCTGGTGGTTAATCATTCATCCCTTCCTGGTGACAGTTTTGTTTCAGATAAACCAGGCCCAGCCTTTTTAACAAAGCCAAAAAACTAAAAAAAACCTGGGTGGGTATGGCTCAGGAAATGCAAATTTCATTTGTCCAATTTGTTAAATTTATGAAATTTGTCTCGTTCCGGCTGACTGACCAGGCCATCAATACAGAACGAGACAATGACAGAATTTTTTAAAAAAGGTATTAAAACAGTGTTTCTCAACCTTGGAAGCTTGAAGATGGGTGGACTTCAATTCCCAGAAGGCTGGGGGATTCTGGGAGTTGAAGTCCACCCATCTTCAAGCTACCAAGGTTGAGAAACACGGCATTAGAACATTAGGCACGAAAAGTTTAAAAACATTCAGTTAAATCCAATACAGGTAGCCCAAAATGTCTATTGCTAAGCGAGACAGTTGTTAAGTGAGTTTTGCTCCATTTTACGACCGTTCTTGCTGCGGTTGTTAAGTGAATAACTGCGGTTGTTCAGTTAGTGTAACCCGCTTGTTAAGTGAATCTGACTTCCCCTTTGACTTGGTTGGTCTGAAGGTTTGTAAAAGGGGATCACGTGACCCCGGTTTATGACACTACAACCGTCATAAATACGAGTCAGTTGCCAAGGGTCTGAATTTTGATCACCTGAGGATGCCGCAATGGTCATAAGTGTGAAAAATGGCCATAAGTAACTTTTTTCAGTGATGTAACTTTGAAGAGTCACTAAATGAACCGTTGTAAGTCAAGGACTACCTCTGTACTAAAGAAATAATAATGATGATGAACTAGGGAGAATGAAAAGAGCCAGGAGAAGAACTCGGAAAAAAATAAACATTTATTGCAAGTTTCTTGAAGCGAGCTTTCAGGAAGAAATGGAAGGAAAGGAATCGGGGCCAATTAGCAATTAGTGGGGTGATCTTAATTCCCTCCCCCCCTTTTTTTAAAATTTGATTTATATGCCGCCCTTCTCCAGAGACTCAGGGCGGCTTACAATGTGCTCAGCAATAGCCTTCATCCTTTTGTATATTTATACAAAGTCAGCTTATTGCCCCCACAAACTGGGTCCTCAATTTACCTACCTTAGAAAGGATGGAAGGCTGAGTCGACCTTAGCCTGGTGAGATTCGAACTTACAGTAATTGCAGGCAGCTGGTCTTAATAACAGGGTGCTTTAGACCACACTACTACCATTCTCCTTCCCTTTGCATTGCAGTGACTGGGACACCCCCAAAAGGAAAAAGAAGCTCAACCTAGACTTCAGAAAGGAATGGACCTCTCAAGATTCGGTATCTTCGGAATCAACCGACTCAGGTGAGATTCGAGACGGGTGGGGCTGAATTTGAACCTATGGCTTTCCAAACCGGTCTGCCGCATCTCAGCGGGCTACGCAGCTAGTCCTCGACTTAACAACTGGGTCTCTTAGTGACTATCTGCAATGATCACAGACCTTCTAACATGGTTGGGCAACGATGGGGACATGACGAACCTGTGGACTTCAACTCCCAGAATTCCCCACCCAGGCCTTGACTTGGCTGGGGATCACGTGACCTCTGGGGCACTGCGTCCGTCATAAATACGAGCCAGTGGCCAAGTGTCCGAATAATGACCGTGGGAGAATGCTGCAACGGTTGTAAGTGTGGCAAAAAACAGTCCTAAGTTGCTTTGTAACTTTGGATGGTCACTAAATGAATTGTACATAAGTCGAGGACTACCAGTAATCATCTTTTTCTGTCGTGCAGGTGTTGGCCCCGACTCTCCTATGGAGCCAGATGTGGAGATGTTTCCTGAGGATGTGTAAGTCGGCATGCTCTTCTGTGTAAACACGGGAATTGTGTGGGGTATTTGTGCCCATATAACAATATTTTTTATCTTCTCTGCAAAAATGAGAGCATTTGGGGGACGTAGGAGTTGAGGGATTTCTTTTATTTTTTACAAATGTTTATTTTCCAAAGTTAAAATGCAAAAGGAAGAAAAAAAGAAAAAAAAAACCCCAAACCAACGTCTTCAAACGCTAACAATAAAAATAAAATGTACAAAGGAAAGAACAAACGTATCATTAAAACTGACATAAAAGGAATTTGCATGGGGAAGTTTTATCTGTTGTCTCCAAATTTATGATTAATTTTATTTATTGACTCAACGTAATTGCTGCCCGTCTCGTTTCGAAGCGACTCCTGATGGCATTAAAAGCGTAAGAGAGAAAATAATAAAAATGGATAAAAACAACCAATGTTGGAAAGAGAATCCTTGACTTATGACGGTAACGGAACCCAGAATATTACAATCGCTGTGAGTCGAGACCCTCCCCTGACCGACCCAATCTTGCAACCTTCCTTGCCCCTGTCGTTAAGCGAATCCCTGCAGCTGTTAAGTTAGTCACACAGTTGTTAAGTGAATATGGCTTCCCCGTTGACTTTGCCTTTCAGAAGGTCGCAAAAGCGGATCACACGATCCCGGGACACTGTGACCGTCATAAATATGAGTCAGTTGCCGAGCATCTGAATTTTGCTCACGGGACTCTGGGGATAGTCATAAGTGTGCTCAACGGTCGTAAGTCGCTTTGTTTCAGTGCACTCAACTTTGGTCGTAAAGTGAGGACCGCCTGTAGTTTTAAATGGCTCGTTTGGGAGGGTGAAATCAAACTGTGGGCCAAAGAAGGGGATGAAACCGAAGCCAAATGGACGGAGTTGTTGGTGTGAGGCTGGTGGGGAGAAGTTCGTGGGAATTTTTCTTGTTTGGAGAGGTTTTTTTTTCCTTTTGTCGGGTTTCGGATGTGGGATCCTAATCTATTTATTGCTCCTGGCTTAAGGGTGCTTTGTTGTCCGCTGTGATGGGATTTGGGGGCTTAAGTCCTTTGCACAACCCGTTTCCAAGAAGTTTGAGCAATCCGGGGCCTTTGCGTTTCATCCTTGCAAACGGGATGGCCCGGAGGGCAAATCCAAGGTTTCCACAGGGGGTCCTCGACTTACGACCGCAAATGAGAACCCCCGAAACTCTCTGTGGCTAAGCGAGACAAGTTCTTTTAAGCGAGTTGTGTCTCTCGTGAAGCGGGCCTCGTTTGTTTGTTTGTTTGTTTGTTTTGCCAACAAGTTTGCCCTGGTTGTTAAGCGATTCCCTGCACGTTGTTAAGTGAAGCACGTGGCCGTTAAAACGAATCGGGCTTCTCCCGGTGACTGATTTTTGAGTAGTGGAGAGGGTTGGGGAGGGGTTTGTGCGCATGCTCCCCTTCTCGCTGTGTGTGTGTGGGGGGGGAGGCAGGATGGTTGGTTGGGGGTGAATGCAAGGGGGCTTATATCTGACAGATGGCGCCTGGCTGGAAACCCCCCCCCACATTCCCCTCATTTGCATGCAGGTGGGGGCAACGGCCGTGGAGGCCCCTTTTGAACTCCTGCCTTTGTTGTGGCTCTTTGGAATTGAATTGACCCAGCGAAGCATGCTGGGGGGAAGGTGGGGGGATGGCGGAAGCCCCCTCCCCACTTTCTAAGCTGCAGGTTCTCAAGAGGAAAAGAGGCCTCTTAAGGGTGGGGGACACATGAGGCCCAGCCCCGGGAGAGCTTGAAGAGAGCGGGTAGAGGAAGAAGTCCCTTTTTTTCCAGTGACGTCGTAACTTTGAACGGTCGCTGAGTGAGCTGTTGAATGTCGAGGACTGCCTGCAGTCGTTCAGCTCCTTGGTGGAGGAGGGTTGGCAGCAGGAAGGGACATGAACTGCAGTGGTTTCTTAAAGATGGAGGCCAGCAGGTCAGCAAGGACTCCTTAGGACAGAGCTGGTTCGTACCAGTTCAAGCGAACTGGTAGCGGAAATCTCACTCACCCCCAATCTATGCCGTCCTATTTAGGCACATTTTTGAGGCTGGGCAGATGTGCGGGAGGTGCGCAAGCGAGCAAAGTGGCACGCGTGGAAGGCGTGCGCGTGGGGCGAACCGGTGGTAAGAATATTGGAAACCCACCACTGGTCCACATGTCTTAAAGTTGCCAAGGTTGGAGACCCCTGCCCTAGGACACCGAAGGGGCATTTTCCCCGCCCCAGGTTCACGAGGCTCCTCCCTTGCAAAACTTTTGCATCCTTCGTGACTTTTCTGATCCTGCACAAGTGTAGGGTTGTTTTTTCCTTCTCTCTGTTGTAATTTTACACGTATCTCCATGGGTCACGTCTCAGAAATGCCGTAATGATCTCCAGATGTTGGAGGCCCTTCTGAGGGAGCTCGCATCAACAAGGCTTGGGGTGGCCAGGAAGTTACTTGCGTCCAGTTTCAAGCAGAAGTATTTATTTATTTATTTATTCATTTATTCATTCATTCATTTCATTCATTCATTCATTCGTTTTATATGCCGCCCTTCTCCGGAGACTCAGGGCGGCTTACAATGCTTTTAAGCAATAGCCTTCATACTTTTGTATATACCTGCTTAGTAGGGCTTTCAGGGGCCCCCTAAGCGGTGTTTTTTTTTTTATATACAAAGTCAGCTTATTGCCCCCACAACCCGGGTCCTCATTTTACCGACCTCGGAAGGATGGAAGGCTGAGTCAACCTTGAGCCTGGTGAGATTCGAACTTGCAGTAATTGCAGGCAGCTGGCAGCTAAGTGCTACTTAACAGCACTTTAGTCCGCTGCTCCACCAAGGCTCCTGAAGCCACCAGAAGTTGCAGGTGCTGCAATACTGAAGGTTTTTAAGAAGAGATTGGTCAACCATTTGTCTGGGAATGGTTTGGGGTCTCCTGTTTGTGCCAGGGGGTTGGACTGGAAGACCCTCAAGGTCCCTTCCGAATCTCTTCATTCTGTATTCTGGATGACACTATTTTGGGATGGAAGCGATTGGGAATAGACACAGATTTTCTCCAGAAATGTAATATATTTTTCTGCAAGGAGAGGATGACTAATTTTTTCCCCAGCTGAGAGCTGTGAAGGGTGTCGGGTGTGACACAAAACTGTTCAAAATTCAAATTTGGCGCCTGTCGGACGATCCCTCAGCCTTTTTGCTCGCTGCCTAAAACCGAAAGTGGGTTTTTTGTTCTTCCTTTCAAAAGCCCCGGTTTCAGTTTCGCTTTAGCGAGAGAAGGAAGGGGTGGGCGGGGGAGGGGGGAGGAAAGAACGCCACCATAACACGACACGACACACGTATGCCCACGAAGGCCTTGTCTTCTTTCCAGCAGGCTTTGTATGATCTATTGCAGGGGTCAGCAACCTGCGGCTCTGGAGCTGCATGTGGCTCTTTCGCCCCTCTGCTGTGGCTCCCTGTCACTCAAAATATGCGCCACAATCGCCAATGTGCGACACCTGTCAGCACATGATTTATTGAGCTTTTCAACCCCCGGTAGGCCAACCACGGATAAATCCAAGAAAAGAAAAGTTTCAGAAGAAAACAGAACATTTAATTCAACTACATATGCTAGTTTTGTGGCCGCTCAAGAAATAGTCAGGCACAGGAAGGTTTTTGTGGCTCCCGGTGTTTTCTTTTCTGTGGGAAACGGGTCCAAATGGCTCTTTGAGTGTTTAAGATTGCAGACCCCTAATCTATTGGAAGTGGGGTGGGGAAATCATTAGGGTTGCGGCCGAGGGTCTCGCAAGTCTTGACCTACCTGGGAAGCAAGCCATCATCCCGTGGTCCTTGCAGAAGGATTTTTTGGGGGGACGGGGGTGTCCTTCTGAGGTCCGGTAGAGTCAGGTGAGAATTGGAAATACTAATTCTTGTCTGTTTTCCTCTGCAGGGAATCGCTTCCCCTTCGGAGAATCAAGTCCTTGCCGGTAAATGCTGCTTCTCTTTGGGCCTTGGTTGAGTCCTCCTGGTGGGGTCCCTTGGGTGGGCTTTGGGTGGGCTTTGCAGAGGAAACAGGGTTGATGTTTCCTCTGGAAAGGGTTGGGCAGAAGGTTGGGCAGCGATCGGGGTGACACCAATCTCCCAATTAATTTGAAAACTGGGGTACCTGGGGAAAGAGGCCTCAACATGAGGGGTGGGCTTGATCCTTTAATCCGAAGGTCCCCAATTCCCGGCCCGTGGCATGCCCGAAACCGGTCCATGGAAACAAACACAGCCCCATCCGTGGGATGCAGGCACCACACAAAACCCTCCTTCCACGGAACTGGTACCTGGTGCCCAAAATGTCCCGGCAGGTGACACCATCTTTACGACGCCGTCATCGTGCCTTTGATGTCTTTGTGATGTCTACTAGATCAGGGGTCTCCAACCTTGGCAACTTGAAGCCCGGAGGACTTCAACTCCCAGAATTCCCCAGTCAGGGAATTCTGGGAGTTGAAGTCCTCCGGGCTTCAAGTTGCCAAGGTTGAAGAGTTCTGGAGTAGATCTCTGTGTCTCTGGGAACCTGGTGGAAATCCTTGTGGGTTGTGGGTTCCAGGAAGGAGAACCGGGTTGCTGAATTGTTGGCAACGGGGAGTTTGCAGCAGCTCCTCGCTTTATTTGTGGCAGGAAATGTTGCCGAGGTAGTCCTCGGCTTATGACCGCAATTGAGCCCAATGCTTCTGTTGTTCAGGGAGACATTTGTTAAGTGATTTGTTACCTTTCTTGCCACAGTTGTTAAGTGAATTTCTGAAACGGATAAATAGTAACCAGGTTTGTTAAGCGAATCTGGCTTCCCCGTTGACTTTGCTTGACAGAAGGTCACAAAACGGGATGCTGCGGCCGTCATAAATAGGAACCAGTTAGGATCAAGCGTCTGAATTTTGATCGTATGTTTTTGGGGATGCTGCAAAGGTCGTAAGTGTGAGAAAAACGGCCGTAAGTCCCTTTTTTTTTCAGTGACGTTGTAACTTTGAGCGGTCACTGAACGAACTGATGTAAGTGGAGGACTACCTGTAATATTGATCGGTGACGAGGCAAATTTTCCTGGCTGGAGAAGTGAATCCGGTCTCTGAAAGACTTCCCTGTTGGAATCGCAGAGAAAAAGAAAGCAACGGGGCCCCCCAAATTTGCTGCTCTGGAGGCCTCCCCTTGATCCCTTTGCCCAATTCTGTCTCCTCCTGCATCTCTGCCTCCCTCACCTGCCGGTCTTCCCTTCTCAGGTGAGGCTGCTGGGCTCCAGTCCTGTCCTCAGGAACATTTCACACTGCAAACAGTGCAACGGCCCTGGCCAGAACAACTCGGCTGCCCCAAACAGCATGGAGAATGTAAGTGGGGGGAAGGCCCTGTGCCTGGCCCCTCCCCCTCCCCTCTTCCTCCCCTTCCCCCCTCCTCCTCTGTCCCCCCCCCCCCCCCGCTTCCCTGCTTCTCTTCACTTTACTTTGTCTTCTTCCTCTTTTACCTTCTCTTCCCTTTCTCCCTTTCTTCTCCCTCCCTCCTTCCTTCTTTCCTTCCTCCCTCCCTCCATCATTTTCTCCTCCCTCCCTCCTTCATTCCTTCCTTCCCTCCCTCCCTCCCCCCTTGCTTCCTTCATTTTCATCCCTCCCTCCCTCCTTCCTGCTTTCCTTTCTCCCTCCCTCCATCATTTTCTCCTCCCTCCCTCCCTCCTTCATTCCTTCCTTCCCTCCCTCCCTCCCCCCTTGCTTCCTTCATTTTCATCCCTCCCTCCCTCCTTCCTGCTTTCCTTTCTCCCTCCCTCCATCATTTTCTCCTCCCTCCCTCCTTCATTCCTTCCTTCCCTCCCTCCCTCCCCCCTTGCTTCCTTCATTTTCATCCCTCCCTCCCTCCTTCTTTCCTTTCTCCCTTTTCCCTTTCCTCCCTCCCTCCTTCCTTCCCTCCCTCCCTCCCTCCCCCCTTGCCTCCTTCATTTTCATCCCTTCCTCCCTCCCTCCTTCTTTCTTTCCTTCCTCCCTTTTTCCTTTCCTTCCTCCTTCCTTCCCTCCCTCCCCCCCTTGCTTCCGTCTGTCATTTTCCTCCCTCCCTCCCTCCCTCCCTTCCTCTCCCTGGCCCTTCCCCTCCTTTCCCTCGCCCCTCCCCCTATTTTCTGGCTTCCTAAAATTGGAGCCGCTGACCTTTTCCTCTTTCGGACAGGAAGGGGCCATTTTCAAGAAGCCCTCCCGACCTACCAGCAGGTTCTCCGGGGGGCAGGGAGAGAGGGCTCCCTTCGCCCAGAGACCAAATTCTGCCCCGCAGCTGATGGTGAGTGTGGGCCGTCCAAGAGGAAGGGGTTTTGGAGGGCAGGCGGGGTGGCGTGTGTGTCCGTGTGTCCGTGCTGCAAGTCTCGCATACCGACCATGTTCTTTGCAGAGAGGCCTTCTTGGCTTTACGGCCCATTTCATCCATGGGACCCTTAGCAAAACTCATCACGGGCCAAACAGCGGCAACTCAACCACGGAAAATTAACGTGGTTGCTGTTACGATGCACAGCGAGTGTTGTTAAAGATGAAAATAGAAAAATAGGCAGCAAAATCAGGTTTAAGCCTCAAAGAGCCTTGATAGTACAGTGGTCTACGCACCCTGTTATTAACACAGCTGCCTGCAATTTACTGCTGGTTCGAATCTCTCCAAGGCTCAAGGTTGACTCAGCCTTCCATCCTTTCTAAGGTAGGTGAAATGAGGACCCAGTTTGTGGGGGCAATAAACTGACTTTGTATAAATATACAAAAGTATGAAGGCTATTGCTTAATGCACTGTAAGCCGCCCTGAGTCTCCGGAGAAGGGCGGCATATAAATCAAATTAAAAAAAAGAAAAAAAAGTTACACTTAGATTGTAGCGTAGAGAACAGTCCAGCGCCCGGCTGACGCAGGAGCCCCCGTAGCACTTCACACAAACCCTTGTCCAGCCTCTTTTTGTGATGACGCAACCCGCAACTTCTGAAGGCAAGCTATTCAAAACCTCACCTGTTGTGGAAGACGTGTTGGGGGGAGGGGTCACCAGATTTCAGAGAGGGGGGCAGCATCAGAGAAGACCCGCTTCCTGGGTCCTATCCCGGGATATATTGCGAGTGTGACAGGACCCCCCCAAACAGGCCAACCCCCCCCAGATCTACCAGAAAGGAAGCAGATTGTTTAGAGGGGTGGTCGGGAGAGGGGGGCTATTCGCAAGGCAGCGTGGCACAACCATCCTCGAACCTATCTGTGGAGATTCTCCGTCATCCGGGTCACGGTTATCCCAAAGGTGCTTTCTTGATTTTTCTGGAAGACGTTTCACTTCTCATCCAAACAGCTTCTTCAGTTCTGGCCCATCCAGGTCCATTCAGTCAGAACTGAAGAAGCTTCTTGGATGAGAAGCGAAACCTCTTCAAGGAAAAAACAAAGGAAGTCCAGTTGCCTTTTGAAAAAAGCCCCTTTGGGAACACTTCCTGGGACATGGTTTGGCTGCAGCTCGCAGCTGAATCACCTTGATTTTGCAGCCAGTGAGAGATGGTGGCGCTCCAGCTGAGTCATTCTTAGGACGACGTGATTGCCTGGGAAATAGCCAAGGAAAGCCATGTTTATGGATCTTTGCTCTTCAGTTCCGCAGCCCTCAGAAGGAGAATGTCAATCCCGAGAGCCCGATCTACCTCCGCCGTTCCTCCTTGACCTCCTTCCTGAACGATGAAGATGATGATGGCTTTCTGGAAGTCCTCGATGAAGAGGAGCAGAAGGTAAAGGTTCTGCTCAGAAGGACACCTGGTGGACTGCAGGGGGGGCGGCGTTGTGCGGACATGGGCTGGCTCTTGAAATACACCACAAAGCCTTCGACTTAGTGACGGAAGGCCCAGGGTCCCAATTACGGTTGCAATTGGGACCCTGGGCCTTCCGTCACTAAGTGAGGCGGCTTAGTGAATCTGGCATCCCCATCGATTTCGCTGGCTGGAAGGTCGCAAAAGAGGATCACGTGACCTCGGGGCATTGCAGCCGTCATAAATAGGAGTCAGTTGCCGAGTGTCTTCGATCACGTGACCACAGGGAGGCTGCAGCGGTCGTAACTGTGGGAAACGGTTCTCAGGTCCCTTTTTTCAGTGCCGTCGTAACTTAGAGCGGTCACCCAAACGAACGGTTGCAAGTCAATATTTTGAACGTGCTGGTAAACATCTGGGGATGGAGGGACCCTCCTCGCCCGTTGCAAGCAAGAAACGGCGTGGGAATGAAGAGACGGGGTCCCCCTCGGCTGCCGTGACCTTCTCAATGTCCTTTACCTGCTGGCGTGACCTCTTTGTCCTTCCTCTTCCAGGGTGATGGTGACCTCCCTTCAGGCATGGAGAACCTGCTAACGGCGCCTCTGGTGAAAACAAACGTTGAACTCAGTCAGGTGCGTTAAAGACGTGGAAGGAGGGTGCAGGGAACCATAACTTTCTTCTTCTTCCTTCTCCTTCGTCTACTGGAGCCCTCCACCTCATCTGCTTGCCTCCCTCCTCCAACCTTTGTGCAGGGGAGGTCCAGGTGCCAGCGACTCTTCCGGTCGCCCTCCATGCCGAGCACTGTCATCCGGCCCATCCTCAAGCGGCTGGAGCGGGCCCAGGAGAGAGAGAACACCCCCGTGAGCACCAAGCGACGGAAGAGCCTCAACGGGAATCCTATTGTGGAGAAGCCGGAGGAACCGGTAAGGGGTGGGTGGGTGGGTGGCTTCCAAGAAGGAACATGGAGGCCATGATCTTCGGGATCCCAGTTCTGTTTCCAGGAGGATTTTGCTAAAAGATCTCCAAATCCTTTGGCAGCCGGAGTTAGTTGAACGATTTTAAGATGACCTCCTTTTTTTGGGTCATCTCCATCGTGTGGGTAGGACACTCTTAATAGGACCACCGAAGAGGAATGCTTGAGGTTCTCCAAAGAGAGCTGTCCAACGGGGGTCCCCATCAGGGCAGGTGGTCAGCCTTGGCAGGGAAAGTCGCAAGGACCCTTTCGGTCTTCCAACGTGGAGGATCTCGGGCTGGGTGGAGAGTGGACCTCTGATGTCCCCATGTCCCGTTCTTCTAGATGCCCCGGCTGGTCCGGTCTCGTTCTTGCTGTCCCTTGGAGATTGCCAACATCTTGGACCAAGACCAGCGCGAGCTGATTGGCGACTTCTCCAAGGTATTGGCAGAGAAGAAGGTCCCTCTCGACGTCTTCTCCCTGGAGCAAGTTATGGATCCGGGTGGGACTTCTCTGGTGGCTCAGGGTAGCCATGGCAACCGATGGCCACATTTGCTCTCCTCTCTTAGGCTTACGTCCTCCAAACGGTGGAAGGGAAACACCAAGATCTCAAGTACATTTCTCCAGAAATGGTAAGGAGAGACCATCAAGTTCTGTTCTTCTTGAGAACGTCCATCTGAAAGCATGCTGGCTGGAGGATTCTGGGAGTTGAAGTCCACCCATCTTAAAGCATGCTGGCTGGGGGATTCTGGGAGTTGTAGTCCACCCGTCTTAAAGCATGCTGGCTGGAGGATTCTGGGAGTTGAAGTCCACCCGTCTTAATGCATGCTGGCTGGGAGATTCTGGGAGTTGTAGTCCGCCCAATTTAAAGCATGCTGGCTGGGGGATTCAGGGAGTTGTAGTCCGCCCAACTTAAAGCATGCTGGCTGGGGGATTCTGGGAGTTGAAGTCCACCCGTCTTAAAGCATGCTGGCTGGGGGATTCTGGGAGTTGAAGTCCACCCCTCTTAAAGCATGCTGGCTGGGGGATTCTGGGAGTTGAAGTCCGCCCGTCCCCCAGCCAGCCTGCTTTAAGATGGGTGGACTTCAACTCCCAGAACCCCCTATTGCAAAACAGATCTGAGACGTGGCCTTCTTTCAAACCCTGCCTTTGCCCGCAGATGGTGGCGGTACTTAATGGCCAGTTCAACAGCCTGATTGAAAACTGTGTGATCGTGGACTGTCGATACCCATATGAATACGAAGGCGGCCACATCAAGGTTAGTTCTCCAGCCGCGGCTTCTTAACGCAAATGAGCAGGTTGGCATGAACGAGGCAGAAGAGAAGATGGTCACCTCTGGGCGGGTTGGCACCTGGTCCAGAAATGGGCACAGCCCCCCCCCCCCGCCGCCTTCTTCTGGGGCAGTGTTTTTCAACCTTGGTAGCTTGAAGATGGGTAGACTTCAACTCCCAGAATCCCCAGCCAGCAGCGCTGGCTGGGGGATTCTGGAGTTGAAGTCCACCCATCTTCAAGCTTCCAAGGTAGAGAAAGGTTTTTAAGAAGAGACTGGGCAGTCACTTGTCTGAGATGGTAGGGGGTCTCCTGCTTGTGCAGGGGGCTGGACTAGAAGACCTCCAAGGTCCCTTCCAGCTCTACTCTACTCACATCCACACTCTACTCTACTCTACTCTTCTCTCCACACTCTACTCTACTCTCCACACTCTACTCTATTCTACTCTACTCTATTCTACTCACTCCACACTACTCTACTCTCTACACTCTACTCTACTCACTCCACACTCTACTCTACTCTGCTCTACTCTACTCTACTCTACTCTCTACTCTTCTCTCCACACTACTCTACTCTCCACACTCCACACTCTACTCTATTCTACTCTACTCTACTCTACACTACTCTACTCTCTACACTCTACTCTACTCACTCCACACTCTACTCTACACACTCTACTCTACTCTACTCTACTCTACTCTACACTATACTCTTCTTTCCACGCTCTACTCTACTCTGCACACTGTACACTCCACAGTCTACTCTACTCCACTCTATTCACTCTACTCTACTCTACTCTCCACACACTACTCCACACTCCACTCCACTCCACTCTATTCTACTCTACTCTACTCACCAGAAAGTCCAGTTGCCTCTTGAATAAGCACCTTTGGGACATTTTGAGTTGAGCTTTTTTTATTTATTTTTTGTTTTGAAATTGTCCTGGTGGGGAAAGGGAGAGAAAAAACCAACCTGCCATGCTGGTGTTTACGTAGATTTACCCTCCTGAATCCCTTTGGTGATACTGTTCAGCCACAATCCTTCCCTTCCCTTATTTGGGCAAGAAAAAAAGTAAGCTAAAATTCTGGGAGTTGCAGTCCTCCACGAGGCATTAAGAGTCCCTGCCGTTTCCCCCCCCCGCCCCCCCCCTGGTCTATTTGGGGAGCAGCTTCCGAAATGAGGGCCCCCTTTTTTCTGCTTGGTTTCGCAGGGTGCCGTCAACCTCCCCCTGGAGAAAGACGTGGAAGACTTCCTTCTCAAGAAGCCCATTGTGCCCTCGGATGCTGCCAAACGAGTCATTGTGGTTTTCCACTGCGAGTTCTCGTCGGAAAGAGGGCCCCGGATGTAAGTCTTCCCTCCCCCCCGCTGGTTTTGGGGGGCCCAGCGCATCGCCCCGGTTGCACCCCTGAGGCTCAAAGGCTAACAAGCCGCTGGGAAGAGCGACCGCGGCCCGGGGGTCTCCCCAGAGCGTTCGCAGTCCCTGGTGCCATCCATGCTCTGTCACCCTACATGGCAAAAGCTGAGAGATGGCATTGCACTGTTCCGTCCGTCATGTAGACCACACGATCTTCCTTGAGCTCCCCAGATTTCCGTTGCTAAGCGAGACAGCGGTTCTTAAGTGAGTTTCGCCCCATTTTACGACCGTTTTGCGCCTCTGTTAAGTGCATGCTTGCAGCTCTCAAGTTAGCAACGTGGCGCATAGCGGTACTCAGCTTCCCTATTCGCTTTTCTGGGTCGCCCAAGGGGCTCGTGTGACCCACCCTGGGACACCAGAACCGTCGTAAACACGAACTAGTTGCCAAGCATCTGAATTTTTTATCACCGTGACCACGGGAATAGCCGCAACGGTCGTTAAGTGTGAAAAACGGCCCTAAGTCACTTTTTTCAGTGCCGTTGTAAACTTTGAACGGTCACTAAACAAACTTGTAAGTCTTAACGACTGCAACGGAGCCCCAAATATCTGTTGTTAAGCGAGACATGTGAATTTGGCTCCGTTTTACCACACCTTTCTTGCTGCCGTTGTTAAACGAATCACCGTTCGTTCTTAAATTAGTGCCACGTCGTTAAGTGAATCCGGCATCCTCATTGACTTTGTTCGTCAGAAGGCTGCAGAGGGGGATCACGTGACCCCGGGACATTGCAACGGTCGTAAATACGAGTCAGCTGAATTTTGATCACGTGACCACAGGGATGCCACAAAAGTCATAAGTGTGAACAAGTCATAAGTCCCTTTTTTCAGTGCCGTCGTAACTTTGAAAGGTCACTGTGAACTGTTGTAAGTCGAAGACTGCCTGTATTCTGCCGACCTCCTCTGGCTGCTGCTGGGAAACAGAGGACAAGGCTGTGTGTGTGTGAGATGTGATGAGGTTGTGTTGTGTTGTGCGTATTTTGTGGCGATTCCTCCTTGTCTTTTATCCCCAAAGGTGCCGTTTTGTTCGGGAGAAGGACCGCGGTCGCAATGCGTATCCCTCTCTCCACTACCCGGAGCTCTACATTTTGAAAGGGGGTTATAAGGAATTTTTCCCCCAATATCAGGTGAGCTGGGTTTTTTTTTTTTAAAAAAAAAATGCATTGAGATGATCATAACATAAAATACAAATTAAAACGAGAAGGGTAAAGAAATGGGAAAGGGAAAGGAAGGGTAAGAGAAGAGAATGGAAAAAGGGGGAAAAAAAACATTGACTTCCATCTTTTTTTCAGGGCCGTGAAATGCAAAGTAAAATTGCATTTTTATTTTTTACGTACTTTTTACTTTTACGTACTTAGTAGTAGCCATTTCTATAACAAACGGCTAAACTGGTCAGTAAATCCCAAAGTCAAAATTTCATGTTTTTGCGTCTTGAGCACGAAGTCAAAAGCCAAGCAGAAACAAACACAACTGGTTATATTTTATTGTTTATTGCTTATTGTCCTTTACTTAAAACAGTTTATTTTCCCATCTCCGTTGCTTTTGCTATCCGTTTTTCCGTTGTTCTTTCCATTCTTGCTTGTAAAGAATTGTAAAGAATTCTCAATAACAAAGTTCCAGATTTTTTCCCTCCACGTTTCTTGTCCATTAGTCTTAAAAATAAAGGTTTTGTTTTCAATGTTATATTAATTTGAAGAATCTTCTGCGTTAAAATATGAATCTGACCCCAATATTAGGTGAGTTTCTTGCAAGGGTAATTTCTGCTCCCCGCATTGGTATATCAGTTTTTGTTTTTAACCTTCATTTTCCCTCCGTGGCAGCTTTAAACGGGGGAATCTGAAAAGCCAGAAGACGGGACAGCTTGGTCTTAGGTAGTCCTCGATTTATGACCACAATGGAGCCCCAAATGTCTGTGGTTAAGCAAGACAGATGTTCAGTGAATTTTGCTCCACTTTATGACCTTTCTTGCCACGGTTGCTAAATGAATCACTGCAGTTGATGAGTTAGTTGCATGGTTGTTAAGTGAATCTGGCTCCCCCGTTGACTTTGCTTGTCAGACAAAGTGATCACGTGATCACGTGACCCCTGGATGGTCGCAAAAAGTGATCACGTGACCCCTGGATGGTCGTAAGTGTGATAAGCGGTCATAAGTTACATTTTTGAGTGCTGTTGTGACTTTGAACGGTCACTAAATGAACTGTTGTAAGTCAAGGACTACAATTTCCCCCCAAAATAAGACCCAACTGGAAAATTAGTCCTAGCATGAGTTTTCAAAATGCTCGTAATATAAGCCCTACCCCAAAAATAAACCCCAGCTAAGATCGTCAGCCAGACGGATTTATTTAGTGCCGTATTTCCCTGAAAATAAGACCTAACTGGAAAATAAGCCCTAATGTGTCTTTTGGAGCAAAAATTAATATAAGACTTTGTCTTATTTTCGGGGAAATATGGTACCTGTATTCCTCCTTTGAATTCTCAGAATTCCTTGACAGCTTGGCCAATGTCTCAGGAATTCTGGGAGTTGAAGTCCACAGGTTGTAAAAGGGCCACAGTTGCCCACCCCTGGATTAGATAGATAGATTAGTTAGGTAGACAGACAGACAGACAGATAGAGCCATGGTGGCCCAATGGTTAGAATGCAGCATGGCAGACTAACTGTGCCCACTGCCAGAAGTTCGATCCTGACTAGCTCAAGGTTGACTCGGCCTTCCAAGGTCGGTAAAATGAGGACCCAGATTGTTGGGGGCAACTGTAAACTGCTTACAGAGGGCTGTAGAGCACCGTGAAGCAGTCTTAAGTGGTATTGCTGTTTTCAGGGGGCCCCCCTGATGTTTTGGTCTGCTTCTCCTCCTTTCCCAGAGTCACTGCGACCCACAGAACTACCGTCCGATGCACCACAAGGATTTCAAGGAGGACCTGCGCACTTTTCGTCTGAAAAGCCGCACTTGGGCCGGAGAGAAGAGCAAACGAGAACTCTACAATCGTCTGAACTGCTGAAGGGTGGAAGAAGCAGGGGGTGGGGTGGGGGAATAGTTTGCATTGGTGGGGGAGGGGGGCAGGAAGTTTGGATGGGGCATCTTCATCGTGTATCCAGGGCAGAGCATGTCCTGGCTTGCACCTACCCAGGACGGATGTCTGCAAGGTTAAAGAAGTATCTTTTCTCTCCCCACGTTGAACTGGTCCCTTTTGGCAAGCGCCATTTTTTGCAACCGGTTGAAGAGCAGGATGTAAATTCCTTATCTTACGACGGCGTCGTTCTGCTCCATCCAGCACGCCGGAAGCCAGCAAAGTTTTGCGAATAACGCTCTGCGAGTTTCGGTTCCTGCAAAATTGAGCAGGAATTTTTCTTGAATCGGAGACTCCATCCGCGCCTCCCTCCGATCAACTTCGGGTGTCTTTTAGGAAGAACAAAGGACACAGCTGCGGGGAAACGTCTTTCCTCGCGACGCAGCGTTGCGGACCCTGGTTGTGAGCAGACGTGAACGTGCCCCCGTTGGGTTTTCGCCCCATCTTCCTTGAGGGCGAGCGAAGGAAGAACGAAGGCGGGAGCCAGCGGGCGTGCAATCTTTCCCACGTGTCTCCGGAGATGTGTGTTTGTGTGTGTGTTTGTGGCTGGTTGTGGAACCTTTGTGCCAGTACAGATTGCTTAAAACGGAAGGAGATTCCTGAGTATCTCACTAAGTGCTTCTTTAGCATCGGAGCGGGACACTTTTCATTGGGGCAGATCAGTGGGGAGAAACTGTGTGTTAGCTTGCATGCAGACGGCCATGGGATCTTTGCAGGCCTCGGGATGGGTGGGGGGAAGAACTGAGAGACACCACACACCCCCACCTAACCACGGCAAAACAGTAGCGCAGACCAGTTTTAAAGAATTAAGAGGAGCCAAACCTGTCAGCTATCTTGGTTTTCTATAATTTGCTGGAACTGAGCCAGTTTGGAAAGAAAGGACGCGTTTTTAATATTGGTAATTTTTATTTTGGCCTCCGAGGCAGGGCTGGGAGGACAAGCCTTGATCCTGGAGACTCTCCATTGTTTTAAAGTTGTCCATTATAAGTTGGAAGCAAACTTTCCTCCACTCTCGGCGTCCACTTTGGAAGCAAGAACCAACGAGCCTCGATTTCAAACGTTCGGATCCTTTTGCCTCAATCCGTCGAACTCAAAAAGGCTGAAAATGTGCCAAAATATGGAAGAAACATTGTCTTTTCCTCTCTTGCTCAATCTCCCCGTCTGCCCAGTTTACCACTTGGAAGAGAGCTTCTCCCCCCCCCCCAAGACTCTAGCTGGAATTATTCAGCTTTATTCCAGATTTAGGGTGAGGAGTGGGCTTCCTTGAAAACAGACCCCACCCCCCTCAAAGCAGCAAAGTTGGTGTACATGTTGGTTTCAGAGAGAAACTTCTTCAGATCGGAAGAGAGGGACTCAATTCATCCTTGGGGTGGGGGGAAAGAGTTTGGTTGGGGTAAGGGACATTTTTTATACCTCTTTTTGACCATGCAAAAATGTTTTGCGTGGTTTTTCCCGGGTTGCTAACAAACGCTTCCGTGGCACGGCTAACGCTGCGTGGCTTCCCTTGGAAAAATTGTGCGGGGAAGAAGAAGAAACACCCATCCAGTGGAGAAGAGTCAGAAGAAGCGAGAATCTGTGCTGGGTTCCATGTTGAGTCTAGCTGGCTTTTAAGGAAAACAGCAAGGCAACTTTGCTTAAAAGTTTGCCACCCTTGGCATCAAAGCAACCTCCCATTTGCTAAAGAGGACCTCCCAGCAGATCTGACCTTTCACCGCCAGCCTTTGCAAAGCTCAAACAAACCATGAATCGAACTTCTCAAAAGAAATAAACCATGATTCTGAGAGGGTCTGGCAGACACAAAGCTGGCTTCTCCCCACCTCCCTCCCCCCAGTTGCACGCTTCCAGACAGGAGCCACCACACTTAAAAAAACAAAACAAAACCTGAATTTGTACAGGAAGGACTCGATTCCTACAAATGATCGAACTCTTTAAAGCTTTTGGGGGGGATAGTCCGGTTTACTTGAAGCTGACCGGTTCGTTTTGTTTCTTTTAACCTGCGGTCTCTGCAGTTGTGTGGGTAGCGGGGAGGTTAGTTGGATGGGGATTTAAGGTAAAGGCGGGGAGAGAAATCGGGCATTTTATTTTGATAGGCGTTGAAATGCAAGTTACGGTGAATTTCGGTGCATCCATCTTCATCTCGGGGTCTTTAGATTGGATTTTTTTCTCAAGCTGGCCCACTTTTAAGATGGGTGGGCTTCCAACTCCCAGAATTCCCAGCATTGCTGGCTGGGGAATTCTGGGAGTTAGAAGTCCACCATCTCAAAGCGGTCCAGTTTGAGAGTCGCCGTTTTAACTGGAAGCGGAATTCCAGTACAGTTAAATCCTCAAAGCCTTTTTCAATGTGCAGCATTTCGTGTTAAAAAAAATAAATAAATCTCGAGGCAAGTTTGAACTCGGTGCTCCCATTAACGTACAGTGAAGAATATAAATTTTTTTTTTTTTTCCTATTTAAGGAAGATTCTTAATATTGACCGACAAAAAGAAAACCACTATTTTAGAACCAGGCTGGTGATAATCAACGCTAGTTTCTTGGTGGTTGTTTGTTTCTCTCTCTCTTTTTCCTTTCCAATCCAGGTCCAGATGTGCCTGTGTGAGCTTAATTTATGGTAAGCTTGAAATCATGGCAGAAGGGATGGAAAGGGAGAGAGAGAGAGAAAAAAAAAGCAAAGTATTTTATCTCAGAGGTGAAACTCATTTGCAATGAGGGAAGGATCAGGAATTCTAGATTGCAGGGTTGGGGAGAGGGCAGAGAAAATGGCTGGAAACATTAGTCTTTGGAGTGGGAAGAGGGGGCGTCCATGAAGAGTAGGCAAGGAATTTGGGGTAGGGGGATAATTCTGGAGTGGGTGAACCCAAATTCCTAAATATTTGCCTTGCACTGAGAAATTCCACCTTTGCTATCAGGTTGAGGGCCTCCAGCAACTCAGGCCTTCCAGATGTCCTGCAGAGACCTTCCAGAGCCCTTGCTCGCACATCTGGAAAGCGTCAGCTGGGCCCAGATGGCTGTAGACCCCTCTGATTCTTTTGCATAGTCAAAATTCTGGAGCTTCATAGGAAGGTTGGCACTCGTAATCCGTGGAAGGGGCTGAAGCGCTTTCTGACTCCTTGCAAGGAAGGCCTGTTGGGTGCTCTCCGTTCGATGCAACCCAACATGGGAAGCTGTTCCTGGTTTTTCCTTTGGAGGTGATGGCACCGAGGCCTGCCAGTGTGGCTGTTTGGAGGGGGAGTGTCTCCGGGCACATGCCCGCGTGACATTTTCCATGGATCAGGCCTCTTATTTTCTTGCCCTGGAGAGTTTCCACCGTTGCTTCGTAGGAGAAAGCAGTTGGCACGATGGAGAAAATGAGCAATCTTACTTCAGGAGGAAAAGCTTTTTCCAGCCCCTCAACCCAGCATTCTCCACATGTCCAGGATTTCACCCACCCACCCCCTCTCTCCAGGGACATGGTGGCAATCTCTGCCCCCTCCCCCCATCTGAATGGTGGCTTAATTATTTCAGCCCACAAGTGCCCGAAATCAGATAAGATTTGTAGAAAAAAGGCCAGATACTTAACCCAATTAGGGATTGAGGTGGTTGCTTGGGGGGGGGGTGTTTTGAGAGATTGGACTGCTGGTTGTTGCTGGGAGTCTTTCCGACCCTTGCTAAATGTACTTGTAACCCCCCCCCACCTCCCAATGTGAATTTCCTTGTAAAAATGCCTCCTTGCTGAGTTGCCCGATGCAATCGGAGAGTTGAATAAAATTGCTAGGTTATGGAACAGATTGGGGACTGTCGCCTCGTTTCCTTTGCAAGGGGGAGAGGGAAAAAAAATGGGGTAGCCACGTTCCACCCTTGGCTGCCACCCCCCGCCTTCCAATGGACTTGGAAGGGACCCTGGAGGTCTTCTAGTCCAACCCCCTGCTCAGCCAGGAAACCCTAATCCCTTCTGGACAAGTGGCTGTCCAGTCTCTTTTTTAAAAAACTTCCAGTGATGGAGCAGCCACAACTCCTGGTGGCAAGCTGTTCCGCTGGTTCATTATTTTCACTGTTAGGATACTGGTTCGTGTTTATGACGGTCGCAGTGTCCTGAGGTCACCTGATCCCAGGGGTGAAATGCACTTACGCAGAGGGTCAAAAACGGATGTAATGACCTCCTGGCGGGTGATCAGAGCCTCCCACCACCGGCTCTGTTGGTTCGTGCAAGCCGGATAGATCCAATTGGATTTTTACCGCTGCCTGATCCCCTTTTGTGACCTTCTGACAAGCAAAGTCAATGGGATTCACTTAACAACCGGTGTGACTAAACTACAGGGATTCACTTAACAACACTAATTTAACTGGTGATTCACTTAACAACCGCAGCCAGAAAGGTCGTAAAATGGGCAAAATTCACTTAAATGCCTCGCTTAAGACCAGAAATGTTGGGCTCCCTTGTGGTCGTAAAGCGAGGACTATATCGCCTTTCTTGGCCCCTGCGCCTGCCAAAGAAGAAGTGGCTCCGCGCCACGCCCCTTCTGCGAGGCGGGCCAATCCGCGTCGGTCCGCCTTTGCCAGTCCCAACCTTCGGTTGTATTCCCCCGCCCACTCTGCTCCCATTGGAGGAGATTCCCCGGCACTCGTTTGAAATCAGGCCCGCCCCTTCGCCTGGCCGCGCCCTTTTCGCTGAGAGGTTCAACGCATGCGCGGATAAAGACTTCCACCCCCCCAACCCTCCGTCCTCCCCAGCTGATCTAACTCCACTTCCGGTCAAAAGCGCGTGGCCCGTCGGGAAATGTAGTCTCGGCTTCCGGGTCTCCGCATAAAGCGACGGTCGCTCCTGCAGAGTCCGCTGCGGCCCCCACCCCACGCAACAGGGCAGCAGGGAGGGTCCTGCATCGGGGGTCGAGTGGGGGGAGAGGGAGCCAGAGAGGAGGGGGCGTCCCCTGCAGCCCCCCCTCCCTGAAACTCTGCTTTGGGGGAGGGGGCTGCCTCTGCCTCCCCCCCTCCAGCTTTGCACCCCCGCCTCTTAAGGGGAGGGGGCGTCTAAGGTGCTGCCCCAGCCAGACTGTAACCCCCTCCTCCTCTCTTGCCTTGCAGCCCCCTCCCCTGCTCCTCCAACCCCCCCCCTCCCAAGTGCCCAGCCTGCTCCCACCATGGTCCGCGCCTTCTTGATCCACTCGTTGCGCGGCCGCCCCGGGGAGGATGCCGAGCTCCTCTTCTGCAGGGTCTTCGCGGCCGGAGGGGCGGCAGACGCCCCGCACCCGAAGGAGAAGGAGCGCCTGCGGACGGTGGCTAGGTGAAGGCGGGCGGGGGTCGTGGGGGGGGTCTCCTTCCTTTGGGGGTCCCAAGGCTGTTGGCCAAAAGGCAGCTGATGCTGCGCCCCATCATCTCCCTGGCTCTTTGAGCTTGCTGGTTTTCTTGCAGACGTTTCATGACCCAACTAGGTAATATCATCAGTGCTAGAAGAGTGTGGGGTTTTCAGGGAGGAGGAGGAAGGGGAGGAAGAGGATGGTGGTCCCAAGGCTGATGTTGGCTTCTCTTAACTCTGAAGTAGCAGCATCTTTCCTTCACTATTTTTCCCTCTCTCTCTCCCTCCCTCATCCTTCATTCTGTATTTTTTTTCCTCCCTTCCTCCCTCCTTCAGCTTTCTTTCCTCCTCTATTTTTTCCTTCCTTCTTCCTTCTTTATTTTCCCGCCCTCTTTCTTTTTTCCTTTATTCTCTTATTTTTCCCTCCCTCCCTCCTTCAGCTTTCTTTCCTTCTCTATTTTTTCCTTCCTTTTTCCTTCTTTATTTTCCCACCCTCTTTCCTTTATTCTCTTATTTTTCCCTCCCTCCCTCCTTCATCTTTCTTTCCTTCTCTATTTTTTCCTTCCTTCTTCCTTCTTTATTTTCCCACCCTCTTTCCTTTATTCTCTTATTTTTCCCTCCCTCCCTCCTTCATCTTTCTTTCCTTCTCTATTTTTTCCTTCCTTCTTTATTTTTCCTCCCTCCTTCCTCTTTCCTTTATTCTCTTATTTTTCCCTCCCTCCCTCCTTCATCTTCTTTTCCTTCTCTATTTTTTCCTTCCTTCCTTCTATTTTCCTTCCCTCTTCCCTCTTTCCTTTATTCTCTTATTTTTCCCTCCCTCCCTCCTTCATCTTTCTTTCCTTCTCTATTTTTTCCTTCCTTCTTCCTTCTTTATTTTCCCTCCCTCCTTCCTCTATTCTCTTATTTTTCCCTCCTTCCTTCCCTTCCATTTTTCCTTCCTTCATCCTCTCTCCTCCTTCCCTTCCTCTTTCCTCCCTCTTTCCTCTCCCCTTCCCTTCCCTCTTTCTTCTCCTCCCCCCCTTCCTTTCCCTTTTTCTCCTCTCCCTTCTTCAAGCACCTGGGCGACAGGGTTCCCAACTGCTTGGAACAGAACAGCTTAGCCTGAAAACTGGGCAAGATTTTAATAAAGATGTTGACAAGGCTTGGAGGGCACGGCTCTCCAAAGTGGGGGTGGGTGGGTGGGTGTCTCCTGTGAGAAATGCCCCCCCACCAAGGAAGGAAGGGGCTTTCACGTCCTTGCCTCTGAACTCTTCTTCCTCCCCCCTTCTGAAATAGCAACTGTAAGAGGGAAGCCCCCTCCCACAACAAAATGGTGACCGCCGTCTTCCTCTGTGCCCGCAGACAGGTGGAGACGGCATGCAGGCTGCAGCTGAGCCTCTCGGGGAAGCGTCCTTCCGAGCACCTTCAACAGCCGCTGCCCGAGGAAGCTGCTTCTCTCCAGGAGACCCCCTTTGGGGTCTTCCGCCTCCCCGCAGGAAACCCCTTCTCTGAGGACAAAACGGTGCTCTGGTTGGGGCTCCAGTGCTTGGCGTTTGCTCTGGTCTGTGACCCCGATGAAAACCTGATGCTTGCGGAGGGCACCCTGAGACTCTTGGGCAACGCTTTGCTGGAGCACCTCAAGCTTCTGTCCACGGGGAGCAATGTGCTCCTGAAGGCCGACCGGACGGAGGCCGTCCTGGAGAAGTTCCTGCCTCACGGACAGCTGCTCTTCCTGAACGACCAGTTTGTGGTGGGGCTGGAGAGAGAGCTGAGCGTCCATCTTGGCAAATGAAAGGCCATCGGAGGAGGAGGAGGAGGAGGAGAAGGAGGAAGAGGAGGAGGAGGGGGCTTCCGGCTTTCCAAGACGGACTCGAGCTTCCTCTTCTTCTTTTGCATACTTGAGAAATTGTGGGCCAGGCGTAAAAAAGTGGCTTATCTGCTTGTAAAATGTTAGGAAGTTTTTCAATCAGGCTGTTTGAATAAGATCAGCATTTTCATCTGCTGTTTTTCGTCAGGGTTTTCTTTCTCCCCCTCTAAGAACTTAGTAAAATGTTCGTTTTGGTCAAGAGTGGTATAGCATCCTGATTCCGGGAGATGGGTCCATCAGAGTCCCTCTCTTTGGAGGAGAAAATGTGGGTCTCCACAGGTCAAAGCTGCATCATCTGGTCCTAACCTGGTCCGTCCCAGTTTAGCATTTGGAGATCAGCCGAGGTGAGTTAAGAGCTGCGTTGTGAGCCGTGGGCTCTGTCAGACCAATCTCCAGAATGTCAACAGTAATAGCAATAGCACTTAGACTTATATACCACTTCACAGCCCTCTCTCAGCGATTTACAGAGTCAGCCTCTTGCCCCCAACAATCTGGATCCTCATGACCTCGGAAGGATGGAAACCTGAGTCAGTCTTGAGCCGGTCAGGATCGAGCTGCTGGCAGTTGGCAGAGTTAACCTGCAATACTGCAGTCTCACCACTGCGCCACCATGGCTCTTCTACCAACTGTGGTCAACCAACCCCGTCAATCAAAAACGATTCCTGTTGGTGACGGAAGGATGTTGCAGAGATGTGGGTGGGATCCTTCAGAGCACACATGGATGTGCTGAGCAACCGGGCAGGTTAAGAGAAGCTGGGAGGGATGCGTAGTCTGCAGGGTTAAAAGTTCACCTGTCCTTTATGAGTTGAGGATGCTCCTCTCCAAACACATGTCGTAGGATCACCGTGAACCAGTGATGTGGTAAAATGCAACACACTTTCTAAAGAAATAGGACCTACATAACAGAATAACAGAGTTGGGAGGGACCCTGGATATCTTCTAGTCCAGCCCCCTGTTCAAGCAGGAGACTATATCATTCTGCACTATTGGCTATCCAATCTCTTCTTGAAGACCTCCAATGATGGAGAACGCACAATTTCTGGAGGCAAATTGTTCCATTATTTAGTTGTTCTCACTGTCAGGAAATTCCTCCTTAGTTCTAAGTTGCTTCTTGCCTTGATTAGTTTCCATCCGTTGATTCTTGTCCTGCCTTCAGGGGCTTTGGAGAAGAGGGGGACCCCTTCCTCTTCTTTGGGGCAGCCCTTGAATATTGGAAGACGGCCATTATGTCACCCCTCTAGTCCTGATACAGAATAACAGCATTGGAAGGGACCTTGGAGCTCAAGCAGGAGGTCCTATACCATTTCAGACAAAAGGCTGTCCATTCTTTTCTTTAAAAACCTCCAGTGTTGGAGCACTCGCAACTTCTGGAGGCAGGCTGTTCCACTGGTTAATTGTTCTCACTGTCAGAAACATTCTCCTTAGGTCCAGGTTGCTTCTCTCCTTGAGTAGTTTCCACCCATTGCTCCTTGTCCTGCCTTCAGGTGCTTTGGAGAATAGGTTGACTCCCTCTTCTCTGTTGCAGCCCCTCCAATAGTGGAAGATAGCTATCAGATCCCCCCCCTAGTCCTTCTTTTCACTAGACTAGCCATGGCTCAGTTCCTGCAACTGTTCATCATATGTTTTGGCCTCCAGCTCCCTAATCATCTTTTTTGCTCTTCTCTGCACTCTCAATGAGTGTTGGGATCTCAATGATCTCAACATCTCCATGAGATGTTGAGACTAGAGTCTCAACATCTTTGTCTGTCTGTCCATCTCTGTCTGTCTGTCCATCCATCCATCCATCCATCCATCCATCCATCCATCCATCATCTCATGGTGGACCAAAGTTGCTTGCAAGGCCCAGTCTGTGTCCTCCTCCTCCCATCCCATCCCATGATGTCACAATCTCACCTTCCCTTCACCTTGCAGGTGTGCTGGGGATTGTGAATGCTTTGCTGAGGGCCCCCAGCAGCCAATCAGCAACCGGCCCAACTCCCATTGCTGCTGGATGTCCCCAGTTAGGATTATCAAGAAGACCAAGCAGGTGGAAAAAGCAGGGGAGAGCAATGAAAATATCCAATAAGAACTTGCTCAAGATTCAGCAACATAGGAGAAGAAGACAGTAAACATAAGTGAACAATAGCGTTGGACTTTTAACAGAAATCACAAGTAGCAGGTACAAAATTGGGCGGCTTGTTTTTCTTTTTTTTTTTTTTTTTAAATTTGATTTATATGCCGCCCTTCTCCGGAGACTCAGGGCGGCTTACAGTGCTTTAAGCAACAGCCTTCATACTTTTGTATATTTATACAAAGTCAGCTTATTGCCCCCACAAACTGGGTCCTCATTTAACCTACCTTAGAAAGGATGGAAGGCTGAGTCAACCTTGAGCCTTGGAGAGATTCGAACCAGCAGTAAATTGCAGGCAGCTGTGTTAATAACAGGGTGCACTAAACCACTGTAGTACCAAGGCTCTTTAAATTATGTCTTACAATAGAATAGAGCTGGAAGGGACCTTGGAGGTCTTCTAGTCTCCTACTCAAGCAGGAGAACCTATTTTCAGAGAAGTGGCTGTCCAATCTCTTCCTTTTTTTTTTTATTGCAAAAGTTTTACAATTACATTTTCACCCCTTTCCCCCCCCACCCCCCCAAACTTCCCAACCTCCCTAACCCTCCCTAACCCTCCCCTCCCCCCAGACTTCCCTATAATATACTCACAACTCGTAAAAAAAAAACCCCTTAATATGACACTTATGTATAAACTTGAACCCCTCCCTCCCCTGTATGATTTTTCTTTTTACCTCATTACATTAAAATATTTCTAAAAGATTATTTTCAAGTAAAGGCTATTTGATACTTTCTAGTTTGATATTTGTTCTGAACATATTCTATCCACCTTTTCCATTCCCACTCATAAGTCTTGTGAACAATCTTTTAAGTATGCTGAAATCTTCGCCATCTCTGCAAAATTGGCCATCTTCAAAGTCCATTCCTCGATAGTAGGCAAAGCTTCATTTTCCCAATATTTACCTATCAACAATCTTGCTGCTGTTATCATATACAATATCAGTTTTATTTCACCCCGTGTAAAACCCTTAACTATACCCAATAAAAACAATTGTGGAGAGAATTGAATTTTTTTCTTCAACACATTCTGCATGACCCACCAAATTTTTATCCAAAAAGCCTTAACTTTCCTACAGGTCCACCAAACATGATAATACGTAGCATCCAAACATTCACATCTCCAACATTTTGGCTGAACATTAGGGTACATACATGACAACTTTTTGGGATCTAAATGCCATCTATAAAACATTTTATAGAAATTTTCCCTCAGGTTCTGCGACTGTGTAAATTTAACATTCTGAACCCAAATTTTTTCCCATGTTTCCAACATCACTGGTTCTTCAAAATTTTGTGCCCACTTAATCATACAATCTTTAACTAATTCAGTTTCTGAATCCCTTTCTAGCAAAACATTATAAAGCCTTTTGATATGCATTGGACCTTTCTCTTTTATATGTCTAACCAATTCTTCCTCATGTAACATAATACCAGTTTTTTGGTCCTCTTTCCATCTCAATTGTAATTGATTATATTGTAACCAAGTTAAATTAATCCCTTCGTCCAACAGTGTCTGCAATGTCTTCAGCTGCCATCTGCCCGCATCTGTAAAAAGAACCTCTTTGTATAAAAATCTCTTCCTAAAAACCTCCAGTGATGGAGCACCCACAACTTCTGGAGGCGAGCTGTTCCACTGGTTAATCTTATTTCCAAGGGTTTTTGACGTTGTATCTTGAAGGACCTCATCCTTAAAAAGCAGCTTTCCAGTTTAAGCCCCAAGAAAGATGAGACATTCTTGGACTAGCAGCTTTGACTTCAGTCTGGGTTGCTTCTGGTGTCTCCAGTCTGGGTGTCTTGGTCTCCAAGCCTTACACGACCTTGATGTCCCACAAGCCGATTGGATTTGTCTAGTCAAGGTCTGTTGAGATGACCTTGTGGCCTACACTACCAACTTTCCTGCCTGGCTTTGCCTCAGGGCAGCCACCAGGACCAGGAAGCTCCTGTCCCACAACCTTTTCGTTTTGTTTGAAGATGGCTGCTTGGGACAGAACAGAGACCCTGCTCGTATCTCCTCTCTGTGCTGCTCTAAGTCTTCTCCATCAGGTTCTGGGGCTGCCCTGTTGGGGCTTGGCCACATCTTCCTGTGTGGTGGGAATGGTTGAAGGCAGGGAGATACTTTCAGTCATTTTCAGAGCATGGAAAAATGGCTCCCTCCAGGTATTTAGACTCGACAAGGTGTGAAGGCCGATGTCCTTGAATTGTTTTGGAGAAGTTCCTACCACCTCCTGGGGAGGAGGGAGACCCATAACAGGGATGTCCACAAGAGTTGGGTTTAAAGGGTCAAGAGGCAGCCAAACACCCTGCCTGATCAAATCCCCGCTTCATTCTCTGATGTCTACATACAAAGGGCAGAATTTTGATTTCGTGGTGGCTGGTCATCTTCATGTTTTGACTCCAGAGGGCTGATCCATCCATCCATCCATCCTTCCTTCCTTCCTTCCTTCCTTCCTTCCTTCCTTCCTTCCTTCCTTCCTTCCTTTTTCTTTCTTTCCTTTTCTTCCTTTTTCTTTCTTTCCTTCCTTTGCTTCCTTTTCTTTCTTTCCTTTTCTTTCCTTCCTTTCCTTCCTTCCTTTTTCTTTCTTTCATTCCTTTCCTTCCTTCCTTCCTTTAAAAATTTTTTTTTTTAATTTGATTTATATGCCGCCCTTCTCCGGAGACTCAGGGTGGCTTACAATGTGCTAAGCAATAGCCTTCATACTTTAGTATATTTTAATACAAAGTCAGCTTATTGCCCCCATAAACTGGGTCCTCATTTCACCTACCTTAGAAAGGATGGAAGGCTGAGTCAACCTTGAGCCTGGTGAGATTCGAACTTACAGTAATTGCAGACAGCTGGTGTTAAATTACAGTGCCTTGTCTGCAGATGTATCCAGGCTTTTTCTTTCCTTCCTTCCCTTCCTTCCTTCCTTCCTTCCTTCCTTCCTTCCTTCCTTCCTTCCTTCCTTCCTTCTCTCCCTCTCTCTCTCCCCCCCCTCTCTCTCTTTTCTCCTTCCCTTCCTTCCGTAATATACAGCAGAGTACATAACAGGCATATACAAAATTTCCAAGAACTATACAAATATTTCCTTATACTTCCTAACGGTGAGAAGAATTAAGGGCTTGTCTCCAGAAGTTGTGGGTGGCTCCATCGCTGGAGGTTTTCAAGAAAAGCCTGGACAGCCACCTGTCTGAAATGGCACAGGCTCTCCTGCTTGAGTGGGGGGCTGGAGTAGACCTCCTGGCCCTCTCTGTAGGGGGAGACGGCCGGTGGGAGGATGGGAAGGCTGGGTCCTTGGTCCCGTCTCCTCCAGGGCTGCTTCCTTCTGCCTTGTGCCTCGGAGGCAGCGGCGGCTGGTGCTGTTTCCAGGGCTGCAGCAGGAGAGGAAGGGTCCAGGGGGCAGCTCAGCCCCTTCCTCTTTCTTGCCCTGCGTGTGCCAGCATCTTACCTGCCCAGAGGTTTCCCCAAAGCGCTGGAAGGCCTGGGGTGAGGGGGAGCTGACTGGGCGAGGGAGCCCAGAGGGCGGGTCCCCTTTGTGACGGTCTCTTCTTCTTTTCTCCCCAGTCATGGCCCCCAAAAAGCCCCCTCCGCCCCCTCCGCCTCCGCCTCCCCCAGACGAAGTGATCCATGTGCCTAAATTTAAAGCGATCCCTCCGGAGATCAAATGGCGACTGATTCGGCTCTTTGGAGTCTTCTGTTTCATCGTCTTCATCGCATCGACGGTTCACTGTAAGTTTATTTATTTATTTATTATTAAATTTATATACCGCCCTTCTCCCTGAGGACTCAGGGCGGTGTACAGCCAGAATTAAAAAACATGAAATACAAATATTAAAAACAATTAAAATCTATATAAATTTGGCCCAAAATTTAAAAAACCACAAACCAATTAAACATTTAAAAATTTAAAAAAATTTCTTCCTAAGCCAGCCCGGCTTGCTGGAAAAAGTGGGTTTTAAGGGCACGGCGGAAGGCACTGAGGTCTTGGATTCTCCTTATCTCTGGGGGCAGCTGATTCCGGAGGGTAGGTGCCCCCACAGAGAAGGCCCTCCCCCTGGGGGTCACCAGCCTACATTGAAGTTCCCGTCAGGGAGTCCTTGACTTACATTACACCAGTTCATTTAGTGACCGTTCAAACTTATATCACTGAAAAAAGAGGCTCATGAGCATTTTTCACACAACCATTGCAGCATCCCCGTAGCCATGGGCTCAAAATTCAGACTGCTGGCAACGGGCTCCATATTTATGACGGTCACAGTGTCCCCAGCGGGTCACGCGATCCCCTTTTTGTGACTTAACCAATGTCTCGCTTAGCAACTTGAAATGTTGAGCTCAATGGTCATCGTAAGTTGAGGACTGCCTGGTTTAATAAAAAGCCCACGATACACGCAGTCCTCGACTTACAACCCCGATTGAGCCCCAAATCCCCCTTGCTAAGTGAGACATTGGTTAAGTGCATGTCGCCCCACTGAACGACCTTTCTTGCCACCGTTGTTAACTGAGTCCCTGCAGTTATTAAGTTAGCGACATGGCAGTTAAGTGAATCCGGTGCCCCCCCCCCATTGACTTTGCTCGGTAGATGGTCGCAAAAGTGGATCAAATGTTCAGTTGACTGAGTTTCATGTTTAATGAAAAAGGAGATTACAATAATAAATAATATTAACTAAATGAACTGTTGTAAGTTGAAGACTATATGGGTATGATGATGATGATGATGTTGATGATGATGATGACAGTATACACAGCAAACGAGATAACCATGCTGGATTTCGTATCCCAAAGTTTTTTTGTTTTTTTTAAATTTGATTTATATGCTGCCCTTCTCCGGAGACTCAGGGCGGCTTACAATGTGCTAAGCAATAGCCTTCATACTTTTGTATATTTATACAAAGTCAGCTTATTGCCCCCACAAACTGGGTCCTCATTTCACCTACCTTAGAAAGGATGGAAGGCTGAGTCAACCTTGAGCCTGGTGAGATTCGAACCTGCAGTAATTGCAGACAGCTATGTTAATAACAGGGTGCACTAAACCACTGTACTATCAAGGCTCTTGATAGTTGAACACTTCCCAAGCGTTTAGGACTGCGTGATGTATCAGCAGATTATGCGAGCAGATCCCAGTAAGGTAGCCTTCTGCAGCTGATCAATGGTTATTATTATTTTTTATTATTATAATAAATTAAAATCTAATATATATAAAATATAAATATAATAATAATAATAACAACAACAACAACAACAACAACTTTATTCATTAAACATGAAACTCAAGTCAACTGAACATTCAAAAATGCATCACAAATACCATTGACTGCAGCGTCCTAGATATCAATCAAGTATCTTCTTAAAATATACGATTTATTATTATTATTATTATTATTATTATTATTATTATTATTATTATTATTATTATTTACTTTATTCATTAAACATGAAACTCAAGTCAACTGAACATTCAAAAATGCATCACAAATACCATTGACTGCAGCGTCCTAGATATCAATCAAGTATCTTCTTAAATATACGATTTATTATTATTATTATTATTATTATTATTATTATTATTATTATTATTTACTTTATTCATTAAACATGAAACTCAAGTCAACTGAACATTCAAAAATGCATCACAAATACCCTTGACTGTTGCTAAATGGTTGATACGGGTTGCTGCCAGCGTCCTAGGGATCAACCAAGTACCTTCTTAAGATGTACGATGTTCCAAGTAGCGCAGTTTTTTTGCAGTTCCGCTGGGGTTATTGCAGGAAGCTGCAATTTGTTGATGTACCTTATAAAATTATTGGACATGGTACCAAGTGCCCCGATGACAATGGGTATCACTGTGACATGTTTCATCCATAGCCGTGTAGTTTTGATGGACAGGTTGTGATATTTCGTGATTTTTTTTTCCCCAGTTCTTTTTCTTCTACTCTGGCGTCTCCTGGTACCGCCATGTCAATAAATTGTACATTTTTTTTAAAATTTGATTTATATGCTGCCCTTCTCCGGAGACTCAGGGCGGCTTACAATGCGCTAAGCAATTTTGGTTTTCAACAACTGTAAGAGGCGTGCGTAAGTGCACCAGCGTGCCTACCGTCCCTGTCCTAATATTCCTTTTTACTGACTCTTTTCATGTATTCAAATTATGTTTATACTTTGACCTGTTATCTTATATATGCTTGACAAATAAACTTACGATTATGATTACAAAAAAAACCCCTATGATATCTGGTGTGTTGTTTTCCAAGTGACGATCCGTCTGTATTTGAAAGTCCCACAAGTTCTTCACCTTCTCCTCTTCTATAACTTTTCCCACTTTATGTTCCCATGGCTTTTTGGATGATGATGAAGATGATGAAGATGATGATCTCTTTTATTCGTTAAACATGAAACTCAGTCAACCAGTCAATGATATTTGCGATACATTTTTAAATGTTCCGTTGACTGAGTTTCATGTTTAATGAATAAAAGAGATAACAACAGCAACAACAATAATAATAATAATGCCACCCATATGCAGGTAAGTTCATTTAGTGACCGTTCCAGCGTGGCTGGCTCAGGAATTCTGGGCGTTGAAGTCCACAGGTCATAAAAGGGTGACGTAAACATCTCAAACTTTTTTTCCATCGATGTAGACATAACGCCTTTCTGCTGTCTCCGTTTTAGATATTAAGCTGATTCAGGCGCCCCCCAGTCCTTACATACCACCCATGGAGTCCTTGAGGAGGACCCTGGCCAATGCCTTAAGAAAACCGTCCATCAGTGCTATAAGTGGTAAGTGGAGGCGGGAGAATCCTGCCCCTTGGGCTGGGCTCAACCCCAAGTTTGGAAACGGGCAAAAGAATTCCAGGGAGGAAGCATTTGGTGAGAATTCAGTGGGCCCAACCATCCGAACACAAGCGCTTGGATCCGGAGCTCTGCCCAAGTCGTCTTCTCCTTTCCAAAATCTCAGCCATCTTCTCGGGTGACGGGACGGATCTTGAGAGTCCGAGTGGACAATCCCTTAAATGTGAGCCAGCCGTGTGCGGCAGCTGCCAGAAAAGCCAACACAGTCAGTGGTGGGTTCCGCCCGGTTCCGCCGAGCCAGTAGCGGTGATGATATGACGTCACCGAACCAGTTCTGCCCCCCCGACCCCCTGCCCCCCCACGTTCTTACCTTTCGTTTGGCCCCACCCCCAATCTATTGCTGCCTCCTGAGTCCCAGCTGATTGGCTAGAAGGAAAAAAACTGTTTAAACTCTTGCCGCGGGGCTTCAAAGGGCCGCCCTACAGCTGATCAGTGTTAAAAGGCAGTGTGGTGGTAGACCGGTGCCTCCAAAAACAAATGGGTAGACCAGAGCCTCCAAAAACAAATGAGTAGACTGATGCCTCCAAAAACAAATGGGTAGACCAGTGCCTGCAAAAATAAATGGGTAGACCAGAGCCTCCAAAAACAAATGGGTAGACCAGAGCCTCCAAAAACAAATGAGTAGACTGGTGCCTCCAAAAACAAATGAGTAGACTGGTGCCTCCAAAAACAAATGGGTAGACCAGTGCCTGCAAAAATAAATGGGTAGACCAGAGCCTCCAAAAACAAATGAGTAGACCAGTGCCTGAAAAAATAAATGGGTAGACCAGAGCCTCCAAAAACAAATGAGTAGACTGATGCCTCCAAAAACAAATGAGTAGACTGGTGCCTCCAAAAACAAATGGGTAGACCAGTGCCTGCAAAAATAAATGAGTAGACTGATGCCTCCAAAAACAAATGGGTAGACCAGTGCCTGCAAAAATAAATGAGTAGACCAGAGCCTCCATAAACAAATGGGTAGACCAGTGCCTCCAAAAACAAATGAGTAGACTGATGCCTCCAAAAACAAATGGGTAGACCAGTGCCTGCAAAAATAAATGGGTAGACCAGAGCCTCCAAAAACAAATGAATAGACCAGTGCCTGCAAAAACAAATGGGTAGACCAGAGCCTCCAAAAACAAATGAGTAGACTGATGCCTTCAAAAACAAATGAGTAGACTGGTGCCTCCAAAAACAAATGAGTAGACCAGTGCCTGCAAAAATAAATGAGTAGACTGATGCCTCCAAAAACAAATGGGTAGACCAGTGCCTCCAAAAACAAATGAGTAGACTGGTGCCTCCAAAAATAAATGGGTAGACCAGTGCCTCCAAAAATAAATGGGTAGACCAGAGCCTCCAAAAACAAATGGGTAGACCAGAGCCTCCAAAAACAAATGGGTCGACTGATGCCTCCAAAAACAAATGGGTAGACCAGTGCCTGCAAAAATAAATGAGTAGACCAGAGCCTCCATAAACAAATGGG